GGCTTGCTTCCCTCTCCTAGCTTTTGGAGTGAAGCAGAAGTTGTTTTGACCATTTTCATTTCAGTCCTCAGTCTTCAAAGGCAGGAAAAGCCATGCTTGGCACGGTTCCGGTTTCTTGGATCTCTCCAAATATTATCTCCCTTGAGCCCAGTCTCAAGCTTTGCCTAAAGCATGAGGAGGAATGAACATCCCGGCGGCCAGCAGGGAGGGGACTGGGGCCTGGGGACTCCAGGTCCCTGTTGTCCGTTCTTCCTCACTGCTAGCTAAGGGTTACTAGAGGGAGAGGACCCAACCCTAAAAGAGTAACAGTCACTCCCGGCTTCTAGAACTTGGTTTACCGTAAATGGTGGCAACTGTGTAACAGACTGTTCACACACAGCCCTTTATTCACCTGGCTTAATTCAGTAGCTACAAGTAGTCCAGGATTTTTTTTTATAAGAACTTCAAAGCTGGGGGGTGGTGGTCCACACCTTCAATCCCAGCACTCAGGAGGCAGAGGCAGGCAGATCTCTGTGAGTTCGAGGCCAGCCTGGTCTACAGAGTGAGTTCCAGTACAGCCAAAGCTACACGGAGAAACCCTGTCTCAAAAACCGAAACAAAAAGCACATCAAAACCAACCTTCCTGTGTGAGCCAGTCCTTCCCTTCTGCGTTAATACACAAGAAAGAAAGCCCCGTTTGTTTCCTAGACCGCACTCAAGGGCAGACACAACAAAATCAAGAGAGCTCGTCTTAGTCACAGGATGTGGCCCGTGGCTTACCCTGCTAAGAGCTGCACCAAGGTAAGGCTACCGGGGGCGTGTTCCCCGTGTTTCATCCTGTTTCGTTCTGACTACAAATCTACTTGGGAAAGGTTGTTGACTCCGTATTTTCAATGCCCCTCTTCTGCTGTTAGCACTTAAATGTAATTATTCAAAGTGGAATCATTTAATTAGATAGGAAGAGGAATAGCAAGCCCAGAGATGATGATAACGGACGAGTCGAATGTGCTGGGCAGCCAAAGCAAAGCTGCAGGGAAGACAGCAGCACCCACTCCTGACAGCTGCGCCCGGCCTGCAGCTCACAGCTCGGGGAACGGGCTCCTCATACAGCTACGTAGAGATGTGGTGCGGAGAACAAAGGCATGATGGCTGTCGTGGCTCATGCCCAGGGGGCCTTAACTTTGGGGAAGCTGAAGGGGGAGGAAGAAAGTGAACAAGGGAAGAACGGAGTGACAGACGTCACAGACCACAGGCACGGGTGTGGGAACTAGGAAGAAACGGAGCCCTCACTTGTGGAGACAGCTCGCTGTACAGCAACTGAGCCTGTTCGCTTATCTGGCTGTCACCCGGCTATCAGGACAACGCAAAGCTGTTCAATGTACCTTAGAAAGGAGAACACTGTGGGTGCCAGTCGTGAAAACATTTCAAAGAACTCACCAGAAGAAAAAAAATACACCTGTATTTTTTAACCACGAAGGACTCAATTTTACTCAATTCTCTGACTAGATTCCAAAGTGCTATGGTGAATGGTGGCTCTTCCACTACTAATCTTTTGCTCTCCACCCCACCAAACCTCCAATCACAATAACATAAGTAAATAGTTTTTTCCTTAAAAAAAATCACATCAGAATAACTGGTTTGTGGAGCCCTGTACGAGTTACCATGTAGGAATGTGGGAACTCGTGTATAATGTCCAGCACCTGAGTACCACAGAGTCCAGGAAAATGTCATAAGACAATCTCTTACCTCAGACATTGCTGTCACTCTCAGTTACAAGATTACATACATTTTATAGGAGGGAACAGCTCATAAATGACATTTAAACTGACCTAAAACAAAACAAACAGCTCTGCCTACTGAAATCGGTTCACCCAAAACAAGTACCCGACACAGAAGAAGCTCAGCAGCCCTCTCCGGGCTTCCGCTGGGGATCCTGGGCTTGGTGTGTGAGGCAGAGAACGGGAAAGGAGATCTAGGAAAGAGTCTCATCAGCCTGTCTCTACCTTGCAGCCATAGCTGACTCACCTTTGGCTTGGCTGGAGGCTCCTGGGGAGAAGGGTCCCCACATACCACAGTTAGCTCTGACTAGGGAAAGAGCTGAACTCAACCGTCTGGCTGTTCAAGCTTAAGAGTGGTGCCTTCACATGTGTAAGACTGCAATCGTCATCACTGACAGCAGGCAACTGCCAAAGCTCCTACTGTGTGCATCGTTTGAATCCTTCACAGTACTTCTCAGTACCACGGTGCTGGATTCAGGGGAAGAGGAGTAGGTGCTGGGTTGGCCTAGCAAGTTACTTCCCAGGACCTTGAGGCAACATTTCCTAATCAGGAAAGCAAGTGGCACCCAGAAATCACTGCTCGGGCTGTTGTGAGAACTGAACAAGTACACAGTATAACAAACAGTAAAAGCACCCCGCGAAGTCCTGCTACTACTATTAAATTGTTATCAGCACGCTGAAACATGACAGGTCAGCACCGTGCAGTTTTATAACAGACCGCATGGGGCTGGGAGAGGAAGGCAGTGTGGGCATCGGCTTGTTTGTGGGAACCCTGTCCTAGTCTGAGGCCCTTGCTTGTAATTGGTAGGCTTTGGTGTCATTAATTTCCTCCTCTGAGAGTACCCGTGTGACATTTTTCTCAAATGAGAGGTAAATTGCTGTTGGAGCTTCACGTGGCACCTGCTTTTACTCTAACAGGAGTGACATTTTCATATTACCAAGTTGAGGCCAGAAAACAGGCGAGTGCGGCACTGCACTAGCACCGTGAGCGATGGATAATACAACAGAGAACTCTGGGAAGGAGGAGAAGCAGGGAAGTAGCATCCCCGGTGGGATGCTACAGAAGCTCCGAGAGAAAGCTCGGGGAGGCGTCTGTCTCTGCAGCTCTGCCAAGCGCACAAGTGTTTCCTGTGTCCTCAGACCCATTCCAAATGTTATGGGTTGGAGCTAGGCAGGGTATGACCAGGGTTATCTGCAACAGCGGCTCCTTCCATCCAGGGCCACAAACATCCAAGTCAATGTCATCGAAAGACTTCTGAGAGAACAGAGGGTACAGGGTTTGTTGTTGCTGCTGTTTTTCAGGACAATAATTAAAGTACAGTTGGACCTTTTCTGTTCAGGATTTTTCCTTTACTGATTATTTTTGACATAGGATGATGCTATCTATGTAGCCCAGGCTGGCCTAGAACTTTTGATACAGTTGCTTCATCACAGGCAAGTGCTACCACACTTGACTCAGAAATTCCTATCAGATCCATGCAAGGTGACAATCTACAAAGCTTGTTTCCAGGATATGAGGGAGGAGGAGAGGCTCTTCTGACATTACCTAAGGGGAATGAGGGCAGTGGTAACTTGGAATGGTTTGGAAAGAGATGTTTGTTCCAAGGTCCACCCATGTCTCTCATTTGAAAGTCACACAACCTTGAAGAAATTGCCAAGGTGGTGCCATAGCTCAACTTCAAAGTCATCTACACTCTCTTTATACTCGGTTACTGACAAACTCAGTGCTCACGTTGATGTAGTCAGGGGACCAGCTGCGAAAGCCTCAGTGAAAAGGACTGCTTATTTACTAGAAGAGCATCCTTGGAAAACAGATACACCAACTGCAGAAAGTGTGTGTGTGTGTGTGTGTGTGTGTGTGTGTGTTTTCTGGGTGCAGAGGTCAAATCCCCCTCTTCTTAAATCTTAGGTCTTAACCTATTGTAGGTATCAAACCAGTTCACAGATGTTTACTGGAAACATAGCATATGCCCTGCACCATAACTCATGGTTATGTCTAAGACACAAGAGTAGTATCTACTAGTAAAAACAAAGGAGAGCCCCTTAAACATAGCATGCATAAAATGTCATTTCATGTTACTGTCATCACATGTAAGTATTTGTAAGCATTCGCCTCATCTCAGAAAAGTTTGACACCAGCGGGATTCTAACATTTTCTGGCAGTGGGTTCATGACAACATGAGCTTTCTCAAATAGTGAACAAATTGCTATGTATTTGAATAGAGGTTCAAATGGTATTTTAAATACTCAAGATTTTAGTGACAGGCTAAGCTATGTTTGACAGACTTTTTTTTTTTTTTACGGTATGTACAGATACCTCTGTGTGCAGCTGGGTTTTCCAAGACTTCAATGTCTTCTCTCATGATTCCTGCTCTGCCATGTGGTCCTAACATTCTGGGTTATGCTGAACTCAGGAGAAGTCGAAGCTCCTCTGTACAGCTAGCCTGCAGATCTGAAAGAGTAACTGTCCTTCTGCCTGGGGTCTGGAGTGCTGTGTCCGACCCATGCTCTCACAATGCTTTCCCTCAGCACCACCGATCAATGCAAACTTTCGACACTACACGTATACTCAGGTCAGTTTCTGTCCTGTGACTGAACCCTGGATCTAAATCTCTCTCGTGTAACACAGTTCTCTTTCTAATCATGACCCTAGATGGTATCGGAGTCAGTGAGATGGAAATCAGGAGAGAGACTATGGGAGAGCCTTGTCTACAAGCACTTCAACAACAGCTGAGAGGGAGCTCTGCTACTTGGGAAGGACTAGATCCAAAGTGCTCACACACTGACAGAAAATAAAAAGACCCACATGTATCTCTTTTACCTACAGATGGTTGAAAAGTGACTTTTCCCCCATGATCCTATATACTGTATGTAATTATCTGTAATTAAGTTATGATTAAAATAATCAATTTAAAACCAAGTATTCAGAACAACTGCTGGACAAGCCAACACTATTTTTCATAAACAAAACAAAACAAAATACAACAAACTGTGTCATATGCCGCAAAGTAGTAAAACCAAGCAATGAAAGTCATTTGTATGATGCTTACTTCTTTGAATAAATTCAGATGACAGCCCTATTTCATTTCTTCATTCAGTTTGGAGGCCAGATGGCATTACAATCATTTACTTCACCTTGTTGTGCTTAATTACTACAATCAACACACTATTTTCCAAATTAATCATAACAAAGTAATTTCATTAGTAACACAGCAGGCTGTTGAATTATTAGCATCATAACAGTTTGCAAACAATTAAACTTTATTTGAACCTTAAAAATTTGCAGAGTGGAACATTATTGTAAGATCTAATGGCAACAGAGTACAAATTCAGTACAGAGCAAGCGATCAAGCAAAATGCTATATAAAATATGACTTACAATCACCTTTCAAAAAATTAGCTCTCTAACTGTTCATAGAAAAACAAATAAAAGCTAAGCAAACATAATGAGAACATAACAATTAGCATATTTTCTAACAAGCTGCGTTGTTTAAATTCACATTAATGGTGTTATTATGATCTTGAAGGGAATGTGATGTCCTGACAAGGGTGGAGAGAACATCCTCACAGCACAAAGATGAGTTCAAGTGAACAGAAAGCACCCACCAATTTCAAGGAATAGTAATTTTTCTCGTCTCTCCCAGTTTTAAAGGCCTTTGGCTCCAACCTTCTATCTCCCATGTATATTCAAGTTAAAGAAAGAACAAAGGCCAGAGGCGGTCTGGACAAGCAGCACCATGCTTCTGTACTGGGAACGCTGGCCATCAGTTGGCAAAGGACTCCCTCTCCTGGATTAACTGGAAAAGGAGGCAGCAATCTACCGGCTTCTCAGTCTGCCCGAGTGGGGGAGGGGTTCCCAAGTGGGTCCATGTGCAAATGACAAGCTGCTGCCATCTGCTGGCCACTTAAGTTAAAAGCACAAACCCTGTAACCACAGGCTAGGTAGGCGTTGGCTTTTCAACCACACTGGCGCTGAAAGCCCGTCCACTGAGCTCATTTCTGCCTGTCTAGCTTCTGCCAAGATGATTTTAACCTTTTTAAATGACACTCTAATAGGAAAAGGGTAATTTTACAAATGTAATTTCTGAAAACTTGGACTATGTTGAGTTTATTCACAACCCCTAATGTTAAGTTTTTTTCTTTTACTTTTGAAATTGAGTAATCACAACATCTATAGAATAACAGTAAGATAAACACTCTTTACTATTGCTTGTAAATGCAGTTGTATAAAACTAGTGGAGATTTAAAAATATCAGCTCATTTGCACTCCTATCTGAAAAGTTAAGCAAAAGCTAGAACTTGCTAGAGAACGTTCAGTAGTAGATTACGTCGACCGCAAACTATCCAGTCACTAGTGCATTTGATACAGGGTAAGGCAATACGGGCATCTCCACAGACTGTTAAAAATACTATGATTTCAACTACCCACGAAAGGGGACCGACAGGACTGGTAGCTGTGGCCATCCTGGGCCTCTCTTTTCTGTTTGGTCCTGAGAAGCACGCAGGAGCCGGCTCAGGGCTGCTGTTTCCAGCGGGGATGCGGCAGCTTGTGCAGCAGTGAGGGACGAGGCGGTAAGCTAGAGTGCCCGCCACCTCACAATGTGAAACACTCTGAAGTTGTTCATACCATCCTAGCAGTGGCAAAAGGGGCTTTCTTGTGAATCTTGGGTTTTGTTAGATTTAAGTAAAATTATAGGAGAAAACATTGGCAAGCCCATCATCAAATTAAGATATTGAAGTACTTTGCCCAAACCTAGGTCTGGTTTACACTTGTGTACCAAGTAACAGGATACTGCCACCTGTAACATTATCGCCTTTTTTTTCTTTCTTACTTAACAGCAGGTAAACTTGTCAATTTTCATAACGTTTTAAAAATGAAAACATTCTATTACTCTATGAAAGAAACTGCTAAGTCATCCACACAGCTTTAAAAGAGTCTTTACTATCGACTCAAAATTTACAAAGTCTGTGAGATTATATGCAACTGATGCCCAGTGACTACAAAATAGCAACCCCACTGCAGCTTCAGTGACTAAGAGTGGCATACAATCACAATGAATTTTCCCACACAAACCAAATGGGCAAATTAATACTAATCATTACTTGCAAAACAGCAACAGGTCTTATCTCTACTGCTTGAACCTAACTTAATCAATTACTGCTGGCTTAATCTGACATCCAGGGTATTTTAATGAGTGACTATATAGAACATCAGCAGAGACAGGAATGCAACCAAAGGAAGACAGCCCCGGGGTTTCCAAATCCAGAGCTCTTGCAGACTGACAGAAGGCTTTCCTGTGGGCAAAAGGGGAAAGTTGCATTTTACTACATTTTTTTCCTTCAGTAGAAAGGCTGATTTATTGCTGGAAAAAAAATAACAGTTTGGCCAAATAAAAATGGACATTTGCTCAGCATTTCTCAATTCATTTCTGCAGAATGCCCATAAAAGTGGCATTTCACTAGAGACAGGAGGTTTGAGAATGCAGCTGGCTATCATCAAAGGGACATTCCTTAAATAATCTGCTCATTTCCAAAGTAAATTCTCTAGTTATTTTTAAAAATTAAAGATGAAGCAAAACAAAAACAAAAGCAGATTTGGGGCATCATACTTATGTTATCAGAAAACGAAAGACTTGAAAAGGCAAAGCCTCAGAAGAAAGAGACCAAGAGAACACAAGAGCTATTAGAGAATATTGGATTAAAATGTACTTACTCAGACTCTCAAATATCATACATCTCCATTACGTAGGCTTTAGGCACCAAGCCAATGGCTCCCTTCATTTCTCCTACCCACCAGCCATATCTATTGTATTCCTAATTGAAAACAATATGCAGTATTAACCTTTAGGTTGGTGTAAGCACAATGTTGTTTGTATGCAACTTCTTAGAAATGTTCCTTTTTATAAAGTCACAAGTGCTGGAGTTGCAAATGGAAACATTTTCATCTTTTTTTTTTTTGTTTCTGGACAAACCAAAAAAAAAATCAGCCCACACGCACACTCACACACACACACACACACACACACACACACACACACACACAGCCATACTGTTGGCAAGTATTCAATTATTGTACAACACAAAACTTGCTCACTATTCTGGCAGAAGGCAGAAGTGGCTTGTGTGAGGACATGGACAAGGAGAGCAACAGGAGCCAACAGGAGAGGCTCCTAGTCTCTCCTGTGTACTGGCTCCTAGCTGTAAGGCTAAAAGCCAGGCAGCTGGAGGAGCTCCACGCACCTTCTAGAAGCATATTATCTACAAGGATGAAAATCATTGGGGGTGGGCATTAGAAGGGCATGGCGACAAGTTCATAATTCCTAATTAAACTGAGATTGGTTAGAATTCAGAGATACATCCCTTCTTTAGAAAATCTAATATATTCTAGGCTGATAAAAGTGGAGAATAAGAAAAATACTAAAATCAAAAATTCACAGATACCAATACAAAATAATTCACAAGAGTATCTCTTGAACATAATATCCCAGAGTTTTTACTGTTTCTCTTGACTCTGGACTGCCTAAGTTCAGGTGACACACAAAGATGCTGTTACGTTCGCTCGTAGAATGGAAGATCAACAGGGAACAAAAGTCTCTCTAGCTTCAAAGGCAGAATATTAATCTGTGAACAGAGTGACTGATGAGGTGGTCTGCACTTTACAACGTGAACAAACAAACCTGGCCTCCTCTTCTCCTCTTTATTCTCCACTGACGGCCATGCCGTTGCTTTAGGCACGGTGAACCTTCCTTAACCAGCCTCATGTCTGCCAGATTGACTAATGTATTTTTATCTCAAATTTATTTATGTTTAGTGAGATACAAACAAGTAAAATGAATTACAAGTTTCAAGAATAATATCTTCCAAAAGCAATACCCTGCACAGGCATTAAGACCCAAATTTAATTTTTCATATAAGATAAATTTTTAAAATCAATCCCCAAAGTAATTCAATAGGTTCTGATTTTCCTCCATCTGAGTCATAGATAAATGTGCATATGCACATTGAGTTATACGTGAAGAGGGAGGGCTGATAGGCATGCAGGCTTCACATTCATATTGATTTGTATGCTATTGACCATCACAAGGAAAATTATGCTGGTCTTCAATACAAATGTAGCAGCATTAGCATGTATGTATTGACAGACAGTCTACCTATAAATTAAAGGATAAAATCTATGGGTTCTTCTAAAGTGGTGGCCAAAAGCAGAATTAGGCTCATTGGAAGAACAAAGGGGAGGGGAAGGGGGCAAACAGGCGAACCCTCCCTGTATGTCTTGTTCTGATAAGGACACAGCCCTGGCTCTGGGGAAAGTGGATTAAGGTGTACGAGTGTAAGAGTTCACTGACAGTGTGACTTCAGTGGACAAAACTGGCTGAGCAATGAGAGCACTGTGAGTCCAGAACTCAATGACAAAGAATGCAATCTACACAAGGGGCATTTATCAAAAGGAAATACCCACTTACTGAGAGCTAGACTAGCAATCATTGTATGTACCTTGGTAGGCACCTAATAAAGCCACCCTTATTCAGTGTTTAAGGCAATAAATACAATTGGCACCTAATGCTTAACCAAACTAACATATGTAAGCTTCCACAGATCAAAGGTCTGCATTGTAAGACACCAAAATGGACTAACAGGGTAAGTCTGAGTGTGAAAGCTCTTACCCAATGCCAGTCTTAGATTTTTTTTTCAAACTGATTACATCAGAAGAACAAAGAGTCTAGCCTGCCAATAGGAGACACAGAAAACATTCAGTGGGAGGGCAAACCCCTGACCCAAACCTGCTGCCAAGGAATGGTGTTCAGCCTGGGAGACAATGGTCAGATTAAAATACACGCCAGAAAGGTCATAGAACTTTATAATATTCAACTTTGGTTATAATCTGTACTGTCATCTAAGCACCTAGCATCACCCCCGAGAAGAACATAAACCCTCAAATTACGATCTCATCGACCAAGGGCAGACAAGAGACTTCGCTTGAGAAAGTCTGGTGCTATATACCATAGAGCAATAGCGGCAATTAACTAGAAAGCACAGTAGCAGACAGCAGAGAGGGGCTTCCTCAGCTGTAAACGGATTCTTACATATACCATTCAGGGACAAAGAAAAGTGACAACCCAGTAGTCCTAAAAGCTTCACTTAATTTAAAATAACCAAAAAATTGGTGAAATACACACCTCATGGAAATGCTCTAAAATATCTGATCTCATTCAGAAAATGGTAACAATAAAAATCAGGATATTACTTTATATTTATAAATAATCTCATCTAATACTCCTGTGTGACATTAAGAGAAAAGATAAAACAGAACAAGACAAAAATCTAGGAGGCAGATTTACGGCTGTGCACTGTAGCGATAGAGTATGTCACGAGACTGTAAACAGGAGTGTTCCTCTCATCCCCACCACCCTCTGCATGAGCCCCCCGAGCAACATGAATCCCAATTAAAGCATCTGCAGCCCATAAATTGGGAGGAAAATGCTCCTTGGTCTATAGCAGTTTTCTAAACTCCAGCCTCAAGATTCAACACCATGCAACGTTTCCTTCCAAAGAAGAAAATCAGCCTCTCTGCCCCAAACATATGTGATTATGAATGACAGATCAGTTAATGGTGGCAAACATGTCATCAATAAATACTGTGCTGTCTTAAAATCCACATACTAATTATGGCATTCTTATACAAAGTCACAGGTGGATCACTTAAAAGACACCTCTCAAACGTTATTAATAAAGAAAAAAGAGAAGGGGGGATAAAAGGATGGGGAGGCCCATACCAGACTGCCATCTAAATCTTGACAGGTGAGGAAACATCACATCATCTGACTGCACTCAAGATCTCAGGTACGAGGTCTGCCATCTGGTACCCTTCACCCTACTCGGCTCTTACCATCAACTGAAATGCTAACTCAGGCAAGTGACTGTACCTCAGGAGGACTGATAAAATAATGAAGAGTCCTTTAATCTACAGGAAACCATTTTAGTCAATTTATAAGAAATATTGCATCCCTTTGTAGGACGTGTAATTATTTTCTATTAATCATGTGCTCTAAAGCTACATTATGCGGTTATTCTGTTATCACTAGAAAGAGGCCTGCAGTCGGCTTCTGACAATGTTAGGTAATTACTAACACAAAGCTGCTTTCTGCTCCCGAAGTAATGCTATCAAGATCCAGAGGTATGGTGATGCTTACTGTATCAAAACAGCACTCAAAAGGAACTCGCTATCAGCGGAATGGATGGCTTCCAGGCAAAATGTAACGTGGCAGTCATGGAAAAAAAACAAAGTCAAATTTCCCTAACAATCCAGGAAATAATAGTAAGATGGCAACGAATGCTCGTAGCCTGACTCCCAAGTCACAACTGTCAAAGCACTGAAGTCATCTCGTTTGTTTACAGTTAGTATTTACTGGGCGATAAGTTAACACGACTGTGCGGCAAGGTGGGGGAAAGGACTGATTCTGATGAAGAGAAACAGACTTTGTCTAACACCAGAGTAAACACACGTTTACACCTGCCTATTGACTCAGTCTTCCTTCTCTTCTGGTGCATTGTTTTAAACTTCAATAAGAGTCCTAAATTCACTTAAGTCCTTTTCAGTGCCGGACCCTCCTTTCTTGGGTTATGTTAATCCACTTTCCTCAAATTAGACAATGAACAAATGCTGCTTCATAGAAACCGGAAGCACTCCCAGGGTCTAGGGATGGGCCACCCTCTCAGTCACTTACTGATACGTTTGAAGGCAACAGGTGCTTCAGATACTGGGAAGTCACTGTGTCCTTTGTCTGAACATACATCCCATGCTTCAGAACAAAATTATTAACCACAGCGACTTTAAGAATCAATGGGTTTCGGTTTTATTTCCCACATATTCGCTGTGGTAATTATTCCTAATAGTAGCAATGTGAAAACAAAGTTAATGTTGTAAATATATAAAGGCTTTCTTTAAGTTTATCTTTGTGTGTGTGTGTGTGTGTGTGTGTGTGTGTGTGTGTTTAGGAACTTTTATGAATCCTTCTTTTTCTCATCATGTCAATGGTTCCCTTAGCAACACAGAGCCTTGACATCCATGATGCTCTACTGTCTCTTCCTAACCTCCCTGCTAGTTTCCCTGACCTGCTGAAGAAAGAGATGGGTGCAACTCCCATGCTTCTGTATGATACCCGAGTCCACTGCTGGGAGATGTTTCCCAAAGCTCTGCTGCATTTGCAATGGCGGTGGAATCTAGTTCTCTAACTTATCATTTACTACTCAGCTGTGACTGACTACACGTTTCTTCACATGTATTTTTCTAAGAATCTTTTTCCAAACACCTGTTCTGATCCATGCACAGGGAGCTTGTGATCTGAAGTGTGTGGCTCCGGCCTGCAGCAGGCTGCTGGCTAGTGTTTTCCAAAACACCCAACGAGATACTCTGTCTGAAGAGCTTCCGCCTGCTCTGCAGAAAGAGAGGTATCTGTCTCCTTTGGAACCAGGACTCCTACTCCATTTCTCTGGAGAAGTAAGTTGAGTTGGATTAAGCACTGACAAGGTCAGGGCAGAACCCTGCTCAGCGGCAGTTGACATCTCAGGGGAACCATCTGTGGCGTTGTCAGCTCCTCCCTGTTTTGAGCTCATCTTCTGTCCTCCCAGTTTGCTGTACATGAAGCAGGTAGTTTTGGGCAATCTCTGAATCTCTGATCTCGGTTTTACGCTTCTGTTCCTTATTGGGACCACAATAATCCAACTTTATATAAATTAGTAAGTCTAACTATTATATACTTGGGTCCTTGCAGAATGCCCTTAATGAAAGCTTTAGTTATATTTTTATAAAGTTT